CTGTGAGCCCCAAGCACAAGGTCGACTTACATGCAGCGGAGCCTGGAGAGCTGGAATCCCCGGGGTGCCCTGGGGGCAGCGGAGCCCTGGCACCCAGCGTCAGCCTGCAGCTTGCTTCCGGGCCCAGAGTGGCTGCAGAAGGGCAGGGCTGCGTCGCAGGAGGCTGAGTGTGCCTGCAGTCCCGATGAGCAAGCAGGAAATTGAAATTAAAACCGCGCTCCGTTTCCTCCTGGCTGTGCAGCTGCTCACGCTAACTGGAGCAGGGGGTGGGTGGGGTGTGTGCAGCTGCTCCGAGAGCCAGGCCCCAGGGAGTGGGGAGGAGCGGAGACAGCAACGCCTGCCAGGAGCATCCTTGTGGTGGAGGGGAAAAAACTGCCGCATAAACACAGCCTGTCTTGGAGGGGCTGTCACTCCCCGCCCAGAGCTGGGTGTGGGGCCCAGGCGTCCTGAGTCCTGCCCCCCCCTCGCCCAGAGCTGGGTCCATGACAAGAGCTGGCTAAAAAAGATTATTTAAAGGTTGCCAGATTTTTTTCACAGTGTGTCAGTTTTGCCATGTTCCGAATGGAACGACGCCCCTTTTTAAAATCCAAATGAGAATTGACGCTGTTCTCGGCTTGCTGAGAACTCCGGGATCAATTTGACAACTGTTTCTCCACGGTTCAGTCACAACATGTTGCAAACAACATCACAGCCCGTCCTCCCGTACCCAGTCCCCCACCCCTCCCCAAAGACACCAGCTTTCTGCAAATGGTCTTTTTTTAAAGGCCATTGGGGCAGAAGGGGCGGGGGGGAATTGTGTTTGAAAACATCTGGCTAGTTCCAGTGGGCGCTGAGACGGCTCAAGGAGCTGCCACTTCCTCCCGGAGATGGGGCTAGACCCCAGGTCTCCAGGCCTTGCTCTGCCCAGCTGCCCCTGTCCCTGGCACCAGGCTCCAAGGACATGCCTCACCCCGCCCATGCTCACTGCAGGGCTGAGCTCTGCAGCCCCAGCCAGCCTGGAAAGGGGGGCAGGGTACGAAAACGGAATCTCCTGGAGGAACAAGGTGCCCGGGCATGTAGGAGGCGAATGGGGCCATACAACGCCCAGTGCCCCAGATGCTGCTCCTGGGGCTGTGAGGATCCTTCCCCACCCCTCCCTGCTGGGGGCAGAGCTGTAGGAACCATTTGTAGCTGGGGCTGAGAGCTATTGAAATGAACGGGAATCCCTGGATGTGATGGAAACCGCTTTTAGCCGGGGTGCAGCACCTGCCTCCCCCGCAGGCCAGCACCTCTGGCGCCCAGGGAGAGTCAGCTTGCGGCGCCATCCCCCCCAGCCCGTTCTTACACACGGGCAAACGCCCCTTTGCCCTGAGAGCTGCTCCCCCTCCCATCTCTGGGGCCAAGCCAGCAGAACGTGCAGGCATCCGGACGCCTCCCACCTCGGGGCTCTCTACCCTGGCCGGCCGTGCATCATATTTAACCCTCCCCTTGCACTCAAAGCCCCTCTTTGCTGCCAGGGGTTTATCCTCCTGGACGCCTCCCTGGAGGTCCTTTTGTTGTGATGGTCTCGAGCCCTCTCTCCAGTGGGGCGGGGCCCTGCTGCACTCAATGGGACCAGCCCGGCACAGGATCAGGTAGTAGCTAAGAGGAGGGCAGCCCTAGGCCTGGTGTAATGACGTACCCACCGGCCAGGCAGAGCACAGAGAGTGGGGGAGTCTGGCTGGCCTCTGGGAAGGCGAGGCCGGGGTGTACCTGCAAGCATGGCTTTGGCACGTGGTCCTGCCTAGAGGATAGAGCCCCTGCACTCAATGGGACCAGCCCGGCACAGGATCAGGTAGTAGCTAAGAGGAGGGCAGCCCTAGGCCTGGTGTAATGACGTACCCACCGGCCAGGCAGAGCACAGAGAGTGGGGGAGTCTGGCTGGCCTCTGGGAAGGCGAGGCCGGGGTGTACCTGCAAGCATGGCTTTGGCACGTGGTCCTGCCTAGAGGATAGAGCCCCGCACACACCCCCCAACGACCCACTCCTAGCCACATCCTTCACCCCCCTGCTCCGCCTAGCCCAGTCGGGCTCTCTCCCCACACATACCACCCCCCCTACGCCTGCCATCCCGTTGTT